CAGAGTGCCCTGAGCCTTGGGGGCTGGATCCAGGCAATGGGCTCCCCAATGCTGGCAGGGGGCCCTGAGCCGTGGGGGCTGGATCCAGGCAAACAGGGGGCTGTATCTGGCTCCTGGGTCTTAGGTTTCCCACCCCCTGTACTATATATTTCAGAGAATTTGTTTGTGTGTCTATCTGCCCCCTAGCGAGGGAACATGCACGCCTCCCAGGCTGTGCCCACTGGAGGTGCCCTGGTCATGGACAGGCATTTCTCACATGGCCCAAAGCTGCTGAAGTAGTCCTCTCTTCCTGGTACAGCTTGCATGCTGAACCCCTCATTCCCTGCCCCACCCCAGACTGATGGTTTAAATGAAGAAAAACAAAATTTATTTGAGTTAAAGACCTGAGCAATGCTGGGTAAATCTAATATTGAGAAATGCCAAAATTAAGTTTGTCCATACAATTATAAATGCATATGTGCGTGTGCAGGTTACACATATAATTATGATACATACAGACATATTGTACACCCAGTCACACACAACAATGACTTTCTAGTGTAACCTGTGTCTTTGCAAAAATAAACTAATTATGAATTTATTTGAGAAAAATAGGTATTAAGCAGTTAAGTTTTCTGAAGTTTTGCTCATAGCAACACAGCGTAGATGCCTTTCTTTATATTTTACTTTCTTACGCTTGAATTATGACTAAGGTGCTATCATTTAAAGCTAGCAGGAGAAAAATGGGGGTGGAACCTTTGCTGATAGATTAATGTATACATGCCTGCAAGGGGCTCAGATATCATGACGATTCTTGTGGCACAAGAAACTAAATAGTTAAAACTTTCCCCCACAAAATCTCCATTGTGCAGATTCCTCACATTATCAGACCAGGACACTTAAGAACATAAGAACATACATGCCTGCAAGGGGCTCAGATATCATGACGATTCTTGTGGCACAAGAAACTAAATAGTTAAAACTTTCCCCCACAAAATCTCCATTGTGCAGATTCCTCACATTATCAGACCAGGACACTTAAGAACATAAGAACGGCCGTACTGGGTCAGACCAAAGGTCCATCTAGCCCAATATCCTGTGTGCCAACAGTGGCCAATGCCAGATGCCCCAGAGGGAGTGAACAGAACATTAATCACCAAGGCTGTGTCTAGACTGGCCAGTTTTTCAGGAAAATCAGCAGCTTTTCTTGAAAAACTTGCCAGCTGTCTACACTGGCCGCTTGAATTTCCGCAAAAGCACTGACGATCTCAAGTAAGATTGTCAGTGTTCTTGCGGAAATACTATGCTGCTCCCGTTTGGGCAAAAGTCCTTTTGCGCAAAACTTTTGCACAAAATTCCGGAAAATTGTGTCAGTCTAGACGTAGCCCAAGTGATCATCCATCTCCTGTCATCCATTTCCAGATACTGACAACCAGAGGCTAAGGGATACCCTTCTTACCCATCTTGGCTAATAGTCATTAATGGACCCAACCTCCATAAATGTTTTTAGTTCCTTTTTTAACTCTATTGAAGTCCTGGTCTTCACAACATCCTCTGGCAAGAAGTTCCACAGGTTGACTGCGCACTGCATGAAGAACAATTTCCTTTTTTTTAAACCTGCTACCTATTAATTTCATTTGGTGACCCCATGTTCTTACGTTTTTGTAACAAGTAACTTTTCCTTATTCACTTTTCCCATACCAATCATGATTTTATAGACCTCTATCATATCCCCCCCCCTTAGTCTCCTCTTTTCTAAGATGAAAAATCCCAGTCTTTGTAATCTCTCTTTATATGGGACCCATTCCAAACCCCTAATCATTTTTCTTGCCCTTTTCTGAACCTTTTCCAACGCCAATATATCTTTTTTGAGATGGGGCGACCACATCTGTACACAATCCAGTTTTTCAGGGACCACTATAAGCCTGTATGTCTCAACTCTACTGATGCTGCTAATGAAGGTGTCATCTGCTGCCAGTTTTGAGTGTGGATAGGAGCACATTCCCAGAAGGAAATGTCTGTTTATTTAGTCAATTAAATCACTGTCTGAAATAAATAATTCTCAAACACTACTGTCCTGGGCAGGATTCAAACTGATGAAAAGTTGTCCTTTGGTAACAGCAGATTTTGGGAAAAGAAAGGAGCAAAGGCAACAGGGAATCTATGTAAGTTAGCATAGGAATAATACTTTTTCACCCTAATGATATTCTAGTAGTTGTGTAGCAAAACAGAGTCCTTCAGCATATTTGTACTAGTCAGAAATCACAACTGGTGTTCTTGAATACCACCACTTGACATCAGAGTCTATAGCTCTATATAATATCATGACTTTGCAGAAAACTTGCCAGCTGTCTACACTGGCCGCTTGAATTTCCGCAAAAGCACTGACGATCTCAAGTAAGATTGTCAGTGTTCTTGCGGAAATACTATGCTGCTCCCGTTTGGGCAAAAGTCCTTTTGCGCAAAACTTTTGCGCAAAAAGGCCAATGTAGACAGCCCAGATTTGTTTTCCACAAAAAAGCCCCAATCGCAAAAGTGGCGATCGGGGCTTTTTTGTGGAAAAGTGCGTCTAGATTGGCACAGATGCTTTTCCGCAAAAAGTGCTTTTGCGGAAAAGCGTCCTGCCAATCTAGACGCTCTGTTCCGAAAATGCTTTTAACGGAAAACTTTTCCGTTAAAAGCATTTCCAGAAAATCGTGTCAGTCTAGACGTAGCCCAAGTGATCATCCATCTCCTGTCATTCATTTCCAGACACTGACAACCAGAGGCTAAGGGATACCCTTCTTACCCATCTTGGCTAATAGTCATTAATGGACCCAACCTCCATAAATGTTTTTAGTTCCTTTTTTAACTCTATTAAAGTCCTGGTCTTCACAACATCCTCTGGCAAGAAGTTCCACAGGTTGACTGCGCACTGCATGAAGAACAATTTCCTTTTTTTTAAACCTGCTACCTATTAATTTCATTTGGTGACCCCATGTTCTTATGTTTTTGTAACAAGTAACTTTTCCTTATTCACTTTTCCCATACCAATCATGATTTTATAGACCTCTATCATATCCCCCCCTTAGTCTCCTCTTTTCTAAGATGAAAAATCCCAGTCTTTGTAATCTCTCTTTATATGGGACCCATTCCAAACCCCTAATCATTTTTCTTGCCTTTTTCTGAACCTTTTCCAACACCAATATATCTTTTTTGAGATGGGGCGACCACATCTGTACACAATCCAGTTTTTCAGGGACCACTATAAGCCTGTATGTCTCAACTCTACTGATGCTGCTAATGAAGGTGTCATCTGCTGCCAGTTTTGAGTGTGGATAGGAGCACATTCCCAGAAGGAAATGTCTGTTTATTTAGTCAATTAAATCACTGTCTGAAATAAATAATTCTCAAACACTACTGTCCTGGGCAGGATTCAAACTGATGAAAAGTTGTCCTTTGGTAACAGCAGATTTTGGGAAAAGAAAGGAGCAAAGGCAACAGGGAATCTATGTAAGTTAGCATAGGAATAATACTTTTTCACCCTAATGATATTCTAGTAGTTGTGTAGCAAAACAGAGTCCTTCAGCATATTTGTACTAGTCAGAAATCACAACTGGTGTTCTTGAATACCACCACTTGACATCAGAGTCTATAGCTCTATATAATATCATGACTTTGCAGGTAACATGAACCATCCTATATCAACATGTATATGGGGTTTGTGGTTTGTTTGTAATTCCTCTTCTCTCACTTGGCATGGTTGTAAAAATTATGTTACTTTTAAATTCCACTTAAAAATCTCACCTTTCAGACACTACTTTGTCTTCACAATGTTCTTCACAGCCATTTATTTGTGTCGGCTGGTAAAGGAAACATTTCAAAGTATATTGAGTTATGGTGGAAGGTCATTACAAGAAGCAGACTTTTACATTATAAATCAAAACAAATAATACAAGCAGTCATGTAGTACTTTAAAGACTAATAAGATAGTTTATTAGGTGATGAGCTTTCATGGGGCAGACCCACTTCTTCAGCTCATACTCTGAAAGTGAGTTGGCATGACCATTATATAACAGAGGGATACAATGAGAAACGTAAAAAAATACAAACTGACAAATTGGCTACATAAAACAAAAGGCGGGGGTGAGGGGGAGAGTGACAAGGAGGAAATTGCATACTGTAAGAGTCAAATAAGTGGCTAATCTGGGGTCACTACGAATATGAAAAGGTGGGGAGGCTGTCTTTGTAACATATAAGATAATTATCATATCGATTAAGGCCCATTCGCAATGTGTGGAATTTTAGCATAAATAAAAGTTCTGAAGTCTCCCTCTGTAATCTGGTGTTAAAGTCTCTTTGTTGTAAGATGCATGTTGTCAGGTCTTTAAGTGAATGGCCAATGTGATTGAAATGCTGGCAACAGATTTGTGTGTGTGGAGATTTCTGATGTCTGATCTGGGAGCATTGATTCTTTGGCGAAGCGACTGACCAGTTTGTCCAATATACATCGCAGATGGCCATTGCTAGCACATGATGGCCATTAAAACCAGGATTGGTTTTAATGTGGCATGCCCTATGGTTGTTAGTGAGAATCTTCTGGAGATTAGGTGATTGTCTATAGGAGAGTACAGATCTGTCACCCAGAGCCTCTCGAAGTGTAGCATCACGTGGCATCATGTCACCCAGAGTCTCAGGAAGGTTCTCACTAACAACCACAGGGCATACCACATAAAATCAACCCTGGAACTTTCCCTTGTAACAAACCCCGTTGCCAGCTTTGTCTACATATTTACTCTGGAGACATCAGCACTGGACCTAACCATGTCAGTTATATGATCAAGGGCTCATATTCCCGTATGTCCAGCAATGTGATATATGCCACCATGTGCCAGCAATGCCCCTCTGTGATGTATATTGGACAAACTGGTCAGTCGCTTTGCCAAAGAATCAATGCTCACAGATCAGACATCAGAAATCTCCATACACACAAACCTGTCAGCCAGCTTTCATTCAAACTGGCTATTCCCTTAAAGACCTGACAACATGTGTCTTACAACAAAGAGACTTTAACATCAGATTACAGAGGGGTTGTGTCTAGACTGGCAAGTTTTTCGAACTTGCCAGCTGTCTACACTGGCCGCTTGAATTTCCAGAAAAGCACTGACGATCTCATGTAAGATCGTCAGTGATTTTCCTTCGAGAGGCTCTGGGTGACAGATCTGTACTCTCCTATAGACAATCACCTAATCTCCAGAAGATTCTCACTAACAACCATAGGGCATGCCACATTAAAACCAATCCTGGTTTTAATGGCCATCATGTGCTAGCAATGGCCATCTGCGATGTATATTGGACAAACTGGTCAGTCACTTCGCCAAAGAATCAATGCTCCCAGATCAGACATCAGAAATCTCCACACACACAAATCTGTTGCCAGCATTTCAATCACATTGGCCATTCACTTAAAGACCTGACAACATGCATCTTTCAACAAAGAGACTTTAACACCAGATTACAGAGGGAGACTTCAGAACTTTTATTTATGCTAAAATTCCACACATTGCGAATGGGCCTTAATCGATATGATAATTATCTTATATGTTACAAAGACAGCCTCCCCACCTTTTCATATTCGTAGTGACCCCAGATTAGCCACTTACAGTATGCAATTTGTAATTGACTCTTACAGTATGCAATTTCCTCCTTCCTTGTCACTTTCCCCCTCGCCCCCACCTTTTGTTTTATGTAGCCGATTTGTAAGTTTGTATTTTTTTTACTTTTTTTCATTGTATCCCTCTGTTATATAATGGTCATGCCAATTCACTTTCAGAATATGAGCTGAAGAAGTGGGTCTGCCCCACGAAAGCTCATCACCTAATAAACTACCTTGTTAATCTTTAAAGTGCTACATAACTGCTTTTTTTGTTTTACCAAGATTAGACTAACACGGCTACCTCTTTGTGACAAAACAATGTTAACAAGTACATTTAGTATTTATGCAAGGTGCCAACACTGATTATTTCAATTCTTCCAGGAAATCCATCCAACCACAAAACTCCCAAACACTCAACATCTGCTTGGGGGAATGCTGAGCAGTTGGAGAGGTGAAATCCCAGCCTAGAGCCAAGGAGCAGGACTACTATGCTTTTAGACCCCTTACAAGATGCTACAGACCAAGGGTACAGGTGTTTGAATAACAGTTGTCATAACTGGGCAGGAAGTACAAACACTGGATAGGGGATTCTATTAACTGGATTCATTTGCTACAGAGTCTGGCTATCTATTGACTAATATAACATAGGACAATATGGGAAGTACAGATCGAAGGTGGAACGGGAATTTGTTCACGAACGTTAGTTTATCTGAGCAGAAAGATGGTGGGAAGTACAGATTGAAGGTGGAATAGGAATTTGTTCACGAACGTTAGTTTATCTGAGCAGAAAGATGAAGGAGAGGGAGCTTCACATGTGTAGTCTATCGATACTTGGCAAAATATCTGAAATACTCTGATTTTTTTCTAGCCCACTTTGAACTGAGGGAGCTTTCTGGCTAGAATTTATGAAATAGCAAAGAATTGATATATTTTATTAGCATTAACACTTCTAAAAACGGTTGGCTTTCATTGTTTTCTTGTTCTCTTGTGCAGCTGATTTATCACAGATTGCTCTCAGTGTATAAATACCGGAGGCCAATAAAATGGAAGTGACATTACATTTAAAACGTTGATGAAACAACTTCCAGAAACTCAATGTGATTGAGGGAATCAGAAGTCAAAGTAAATAGTCTAGTAAAACAGTAAATAAAGGCACTGTCAGCACCTCTTCATTTTACCTCTGGAAAGTCTTCAGGCAAAGATGACCCATCACAGTCTGTGTCTTCAGCTTTTTCTTCTGCCAGCTTTCCATTGGTCTCTAAAGAATCTGCTGTAGAAATACATTAGAGGAAAGAGCTACTCAGAAGTAATGTTATAGGTAGGTTAAAAAAAGCCTCATATTTTCATTCAAATATATTAAGAATATTTGTGCCTGCAGCTAAAATCTCCTCCCCCTCCCTGCACCGAAAAAATGATTCGACGCATGAGGCCTCAGCCATACATTCATTCTGAACAACTCTTTACTGTCAATGAAGACCATAGAACAAAAAGTAGATTAGGGGCCTGATTCTCATTTACACTAAGGTCCTTTATACCACTTTGGCAATATAAAGGGGTTAAAAGTGAGTATAAATGACACTGCACCAAGTTTAAATTCCCTTTACACTGACAGAAGGGTGTAAAGTCGCCTTCACATAAATATTAATAAGACCATCCTACTTCATCATTCTTAGCACAGAATCAAAATCAGGGGTTGTTTAAATCTAGTTTAACTACATGGTTATTTGTAACAGTATTGAGCTGATGTATAGACTGTAAAAGAATAGCAAGTTGTTAACCTAGCAGCATGAATCTAATTCAACTCAGAGTCTATCTATATCTGGATTTTATTTACTCTATATTCATGAGTCATTAAAAATTGTACAGGATGAAATGTGACCTACTTCAGCTATGTCATTGTTGCTACATCTCCCAGGGTGTGTCTAGACTACAGGGTTTTTTTAGAAAAAACTATACCCGTGTCTAGAATACTGCTGCATTCTGTCGACGGTAAATCGACAGAATGCAGCGGTTTTGTCGACAGCAGTAAACCTTGTTTTACACGGAAGATTGCATTTTTCGACAGAGATCTGTCAAAAAAAGTTGGCTTTTTCGACAGAGATCTGTCGAAAAAAGGTGTGTGTGGATGCAGGGAGCCAGCTCTGTCAGGAAAAAAAAGGCGTCCAGGAAGAAGCCCTGGTGGACAGTCTAACCTTTACATGTAGAGAACCTCTGTGGTTCCTGGCCGCAGCCTCTTAAAGGCACAGGCACCCAGACAGGCCTTGATGTCCAGCAGCTAGCTAGAGCACCCGTGCCAGCCATGTCCCAGCTTCAAGGCCCCCTGGCTCTTCTCGGGACAGAGAGGACCACCCACCCAGGGGCACCAGCCTGGTCAGGGCCAGAAATAAAAAACCTGCTGGAGCTCTGGTCCCAGGAACAAATGCTGCAGGCCCTGCAGACACGGCGCAGGAATGTGGACATCTGTGAGCGCCTGGCCCACGGACTGGCCCCCAAAGGGCATCACCCCCGCACCATGGCACAAGTGAGGGCCAAAGCCAAAGAGCTGCGGCAGGGATATGCCAAGGCCCAGGACCAGAGCTCCCGCTCCGAGGCAGCCCCAGAGAGCTGCCCTACTACCAGGAGTTGGAGCAGATCCTGGATGGTGGGGAAGCCCAGACTCCACTGTGTGTGGTGGAGTCCGGGTTACCCCACCACATCATGGACCGACCCCTGAGGGAGGAAGATGAGGCAGGAGAGATGGGAGAGCTGTACCAGGAGGAGGAGGAGGAAGAAGAGGAGGCAGCAGGGACCCTCTCTCAGAGGAGCCGGTCCTCCAGACCCCAGAGGCCTCCCAGGCATCCATGGACATC